GCAGGAAAAAATATCTCAAAATTGTGACAAATTAGGCCCAACATTTAAAAAAAACACAGGGAGAAATACATCAAAATTGATTGATTGTCCTATCAATAAAGAATCCCATTATTTTATACTGTTGATGCTGAAAAAACCCAAAGTGAATTTCTTGAAAGATTCTGTTGGATTTTATTGTGTGTATATATATATATAGTTAGGAAATTGCTCAGTGTTCTCACTTTCTCCTGTTTCTTTTAGAAAAATCAGACTTTACTACAACATTTACTTCCATTTAATTTTGCTCAGTCGTGTTTGAAATTCATTTAAAAAACCATAAAACTATTTAATTGCCTACATAATATTTGGCTGTAAAGACTTCAAATTTGCCACTTAGTGAATAGTTTCCTCTGAGAATAGTGTAATTAAAATATATGACATGCCACGTATCTAATTATATCACATTAAAAAATAGACCCATATACAACGTTTGAACACTTGAATCGAATACTTCATCACTACTTCATCTCTACTTGTACTTCAAATCAGTATTCAGTCGCCTGCCGTTAGAAGCAAACTATTTTTTAATAAGCCAAGGTCTTTCCTGCTTTCATCAGCAGACATTTTTTATTTTCCCACTTTTTTTGACATTTCTTTTTCTCCATTGTCTGCATCATAGTTAATGGATGAGACCATTGTAATGATCCCGCCTACCCCAGCTTTAACAGGAAATTGATTCTTTCATTTGATTGACATCAATGCATCCTCAACACTTACATGCCTTGTGTTCAATTTACTTTGACTTAGTTGAGTTCAACAACATCATGCTAAGATGCAGCTCATCTTTGTTAGCTGTGTTATCTTTTCATGGGTTTTCCACTTGTTAAAAAAAATCAACATTTTGAAGTTTTTGGCGAGACTTAATGGTTATACATAAGTAAGCTTGAAACAGGTTTATGATCCAGCTTCATTTATTTGATAATTTTTTGTGTTTCAGTTCTAAGACGGGACAAAGTCTGTGACATTCTCCCAAATATTTTACAAAGATTAAATTCTCTGATGGAAACATCAACATATAAATGTTAGTTTTGGGAATCAGGGTAGTTTTCTTCAATTATACCAGATTTTTGTTTCACTTATTTGTGTACGTACTGTATTAAGTAATAGATACAGATCAAAATAAAGAAGTAAAATACAGTTTTTTCAGGACAAAAATTTGTTTCGTTTCCTCACGGATTATTTAGTTTCAAATGTATCTTAATTATGTTTAGACATAGCGTGTCAGCTCTGTCTGTCACTCTTCAAAAGTAGAAAAACTCAAACCTGGCAACATTTCGTTTCACCATCATGCTCACCAATAGACACTCACTACGTAAATTACACAGCAATAACAGTAGCATTTTTGGGCTGCTCCTTCCCTCACTGTTCTTCACTGCTCTCTCTCTCTCTCTCTCTCTCTCTCTCTCTTTCTTTCTCCTTACATTGCATCCAGCCAAATAATGTAATTAAAGGCAGAGAGCATCGTTTGCCCTCTCATTAGATGTTGTTTCAACAGCAGCTCTGATGGATTAAGACGAGCCAGAGGCCTTGTCTGCTTCTGCAACTACCTAATATGAACCAATTAAATGCTTTGCTCTCTTTGGTCACTCTACACTTGCTTATATCCTCTGGTAATGATGGTGGATTGTTACACAGCTCCACCTCTGGCTGAATTTCAACACAGGCAGATGTTTTTCGGGGTGAGGTAATCGCAGCAGCCTTGTTGTCAGTAAAACCAGTTGTTGGCACTCTCGTTGCAAGGCAAGAATATCAGAGATTTGCTGGTTCAATTCCTGGTTGGTTCTCAGGTTTCTTACCACAGAGCCACTCAGAATGTACATGCTTATACACAGAGCCACTCAGAATGTACATGCTTTCATGGCATTGCTTTGATTGGTCCATGACTGGTCCTCACCCAATCTTTATGGGTACTGAGATCCCACAAGCCAATGCAAATTTGGCTCAAGGGTAATAGTTTACTATTAGATTGACACAGTAAGTGTGAGTGTGTAGTGATGTTGAACTGGTGGACTGTCCAGGGTGTGACCGGCCCCTGACGTCTGTGGATACCTCCAACCCCACTCCCTTCTGTTCTTTATGTCTTGTAAAGTGAACAAGTTAAAGAACTAGACTGAACTTCTTCCATCGGTGGAGAACTCCAACCCTTCACTGGAGACTTCTGACAGTTGTTATACAGTTCAGTGGGAGGAGCATGTTCTGGGCGTTAACTGGGGGGCATGGCTTTGGGAAAATGTTACCATTTCAAGGGCCTATGTTGCAGGTCATATTAAAAGAAGTCAGTCAAATGCAAAAAATGCAGCATTTTACAACCCAGTGATAGCCCTCAGTCATTTGTAGCATTTGAAGTACATCCACGATAGTATCCTTCTGAAATGTTAATGCTTAGTGTATAATATATAATTTTATTTGGTTCGGATGTTTTGTTATGTGATTTTATTAAGTCATTTTCAAATATGAACTGTAGATATATGTCTACAATGAGATACATAAATACACATATACATATATGTTTGTGTGTATGTATGTGTGTGTTTGTATAGATATTTATGTATATAAGCATATATATACATATAGGTATATATACTGTATATATACTGTATATATACTGTATGTATATATATATATATATATATATATATGTATATATATATATATATTCCTCATTATTTTGGATATATTTAGTACTACTACTTATGTTTACTACTAATTTAGACAATGCCATTATTTTGGAGTGAAGCTGGATGAACTTTTTAGACCTGATTTGACTCCAGATTGTTTACTTGAAAAATAACTTTAATCATGTTTGTTGGATTTTCTTTTCAAAATAGTCTCTTGATTTTTGGTTTGAAGTCAACTTCATCATCTATCTGTTTGAGCCGAGCTGATCTTTGAGTATTCGGTGCTGTAAAGCGTCACTGCAGTGTGGGGGCAGCTGTCTAAGTATATCATAACTTGTTGTGTGATGGCAAATGGGTAAAAACACACATTTACATTTTCACAGTCATGATTTTTACACTCAGAGTTGAATTGACATTGGTGTTTCTCCTGCGTACACATGGCCCATAACATCCTCCATTTAACACGGCCACCAGGCAGAACCAAGCAGATATTGCTGCATTGGAAAGATTTCAACGGCGAATTGGCGAATGAAATGTGTCTAATTTATGGAGCACTTTAATTGGCGTCAAATGGATATTGAATTGTGTAGGAATTACTCCCCACTGTCTGAGGTATGTGCAGCCTCCGACTGCTCCACTTTCTCGTACAGATGATTTGAAACGTGAACCTCTCTGGCACAAGTGCATAACCCATGTAAATTGCTCTTTTAAAAATACCTCCACCCTCCCATCATGCTCGGGGGGGGGGGGGGGGGGGGGGGGGGGGGGGGGTGTCTAAGTCTGTGGCACTGCCGCGTTTTTGCTCTTTGCCAAAAGTCAATGGACTGTTCACAATTAATCCCTGCAGCCACACGACGAGACTGTGGGGATTTCATTACATTTATCTGTGTTTTGTCCAAATACCACGGCTATTCCACACAGCTTGTGTTTCCCAAGTAAATATTGAAGACTTGGAGAAAAACCACAGGTATAGCAGAGGCTGTTTGAACTTTCCTCATGTACTTTTCCAGCCTCCAACACTTCTGCAGACAAACCATAGAAAGACATTGGGGCAGACTTCTTCTCCCTTAGTTTCCTAAGTGCTAAGGATTTTGTGTAAGATTCACAGATCTCCGTGTTAATGACATGAAGTGTCAGGACTGGTGTGTTCCAGAGAGGGGATGTCTCTTTGTCCTGGTGATGAAATTAAGATTCTGAAATAATGGTGTCTTGGTGAACTGCAATGGAACACACGTCATACTGTATGTGTATGTGTATTTACGTTTATGTATATATCCCTATACATACAGTATATGTGTTAATATGTGTTGTTAAAATATTTATATGTTTATATACTTTATATAAACACATATCTGTATGAATACATATATGTATGTTCATACAGATATGTGTTTATATATGTATATTCATTAGACTGTTTTTAAATGCATTTAATATTATTTGTGATAGAATCATACATAGATTCACATACATGGATGAAACAGTCACCCTGTCTAAGTACTGTCACCACCACCCCCCCCCCCAAATAACTTCATCAGTTTTCTTTCGTCCTTTAAAATGTATAAAAGAAATGTAGAATGAAAAGATTTTAGACATTTGCCTTGAACTAAATCATATTTTCCCACTGCTTTTCAAACTATTTCTGTACCTTTTTTGTATACTTCAGTATACGTTCCTTTCTATAGATGTTTGGCCTTGTTTGTAGTACGGATGGCTGCTAAGTAAAGGAATTGAGAATTGATCGGTACATTTTCCTCTGGCCAGTGGGGACGGTGTTTTGTTTTTGTTTTACCTTTGTACACAATATTCAGAAGTGTAGTAGTGTTGTTGTAGTATTTTCAGATGTTTTATTGCTCAAAATGCTACGTGTTATACCATGGCTGACCATCTGGGAGTGAAACTAATAAGATAATTATTATCATGAAATTATTATTCTCTATATTACTATATTGAAGCATTTAGATCAGGGGTGTCAAACATAAGGCCCGTGGGCCAAAATTGACCCACTCCTAGTAAGGCCCGTGGGCCAAAATTGACCCACTAGGAGGTTCTATCCGGCCTGCTTGATAAATTCTGAAAGTAGAAGAAGCACAAGCATTTCATCTTATGATGTTTGGTAAAATGAAATTTCATTAAATATGAAGATTTTTTTATACACTAAATCTTACTAGGCTGTATGTGGCCCCTGAACCAAAATGAGTTTGACACCCCGATTTAGATGAATATTTAATTAAATGGACATGGAATCTTGAGATTCTTAAGAGTACCCAGCCCTAGTACAGACCATGTCCACAGCGTGTTTGTTTTATTCTAATTAGACTACTTTGGTTTGTTTTGTTGCAGGATATTTGACAGTGACCATAGAGCCCCTGCCTCCCATTGTTGTCGGAGAGACCGTAACTCTGAAGTGCAACTTCAAAACTGATGGACGGCTCAGAGAAATCGTTTGGTACAGGGTAAGTAAAAGTCTCCTGTGAGTTTTCCTTGATACAGTTCTGTTATGTCTTTCATCCTGCACCGTAAACACACCAATCTGTGGCCAATACTCTGCTTTTACTGCTATGTGAGTCAACAGGCCAGCACTGTCAGAGTGCACTTGTTAGCAAAGAACCCATTTCTGGGACAGCTGTATGGGAGGCATCAGTGGTTGTTGTTTGGGAATTTTGACTTCTCAATCTGCTGGTCATCACCATTATTTCTTAATAGTTCACAGCTGGCAACTCCACAGTCAGGAGTTATTAATGTCTCAGTTGGTGAGCTTTAACAGCAGCCAAAATTTAAATTGCTGTTCTAGGAGAACGTGGAAAAAAAAATTACTTTGTAGATTTTGGAATGCAATACATGGGATTTTTTTTTTTTTTTTGGGAAAAGAGTGTTTCATAGTCTAAACTTTGTGCTTCACCAGACTAATTTGTTTCCAACAATGGGCTCTCATAAGCAATTGAATTGGAGAGTGAAATAAAAAAGCTTCTACTATCAAGAGCACACTTTCATGGCGATGTGCCACGAACAGCAAAGTCTGAAGTGCTACTTATGAATGTTTTTATCAAAGTTTAAATATGCAGAAAAATCTTGGAAGGAAATGTGCAGATAGACAAAAGGAATATCAATAATGTGGTTTTAGACGTTTATGAGTCTGTTACAAACCGAGTTATCTGCACAACATTGCCCCCTGTCTGTGCTTGAGTCTATCTATAGAGATAGATAGATAGATTCAGGCTGTCGTAGAGGAATGCTAATGGAAATCAATTGTCTAAAAAAGCAGAATGTACTATACTTACAGCTTGGTTACAGCTTCAACAATTGTGGACATTTCCTTAATAAATACTATTTCTCTTTTAAATAAAACCCCTGGTTCACATTTGAGCAAATTCTGACCTTTGGAGGTCTGGAAAAAAAAAGATTTATGTCTCTTTACACTTTCACCTCAGCATCATAGATCATTTCAATCGCTGTGGCAATTTCATTTAATCAGCCCGGTAGAGCAGAGGTTTTTTTTCCCCCTGCAGTATCTCCTGACAGTTTGGATAACCACGTTGACGATAGAGCTGTCTGTATTAAGTACTCATGAGGAAAGCGAAGACGTAACCAAAATCTCTCTGATGGCTTCTGCTCAATACAGGAATTGATAAATTATAAATCAAGGCCTGGCTGCCAACGTTTTTTCTGCCTTCCTTTTAGTTACCTAAATACCTCTGACTCCACATTTTACCAACTGTCCAAATGGGACAGTGTTGATATTCATATGGGGAACCCTCTCATTCAATCGATGGCCAGTCAGACAGAGGGCTAAAGGCACTAACTACGTATCTGTGGCTCTGCATCCTCCAATATCATGTTTAGAGACTCAGAGTTATGTAACAAAGCTGGAGCCAGACAGAACTAGCACAACCGGTGATGTAGTAAAAATAAATACAAGTATTTCGACATGTACTGTATAAGCATGCGTGGTGCGACACGATAAGGCATGCAGGTACTTCACATACTGTGCCTCCTTTCCAAGTATTACGAATCAGCGAATAAAGTAAGTAAAATTACTTGTACTGCAGTAGAGCTGCAAATAATATGTCATAATTAGGATTATTCTGGGTCAGTATTGAAATCACGATTATTCATCAGGATTACTCACTGACTCTGGAAACAGATTGTATTCATTGCCCATAATGAACAACAAATGTGATATTTTTTCTTAATATTTGTTTTAAAAATATTGTTGAACTTCCCTTTAAAATAACTGACAGTGAAATATTCAACCTTTAACTTCAATATAACAATTATCAAAATAAATAATAAAATAGGAAATGCCAATTAACATGAAAAATAAAAGTGATGATAACAAAAGAAAACAGTAGAACCATGTGATTTAGATTATAACACATTTTCTCAGTGTTTTGTGGCTTAGTGGTTAAGAAAGTGGACTTGGGTCTGGAAGGTTTCATGTTAGAGTCCACCAGCTGCCAAGTTACCACTGCGGTGCTCAGAGCATGGCACCGTCCCCACACACTGCTCCCCGGGTGTTTAATGCTGCCCACTGTTCACTGGTGTGCAGTGGTGTGCTGTAGTTCACTTTGACTTTCCTTACTGCCTGACAGAAGGATCCTTTACATGTATTCAAAATGTTGGCAAATTATATTTAATTAATTGCAACCAGTAACTTGGGTTTTGTCTTATTCCGTTACACAGTGGAGGCAGTGGTTAAGTGTGGTTGCCTTACAGCAGGTAGATCATGACATTGTGGTTCGATTCCCACTTCTTCTGTATGGAGTTTGTTTTTGTGCGTTTACTCCAGAGACTCCACTTTACTCTGTTTAGGTTTAATAAACACGAACAGTCACTTACCGTATGGTTTGGATGGGATTCTAAATGTTTGTTTGTCTGTTTGTCTATTTATTGATCAATGATCGACCGGAAAACTGTCTTGGCGGCAGTCTCTGATCTTCATTGTACCGAGTACCAGTCTGGCTGGTACTGTGGATCATTAGTGCTGTGTGGATCATTGAAGGATTTTGAACGGATCATTTTTCAAAATGAAACATCTTTTAGACTTTATTCTGTTTGATGTTTAAAAGATGTTTCATTTTGAAAGATCGTCTCTTTAAATGACATAATTCATGATTTTATTTGCACTGTGACCACACAGGCCAGTACTGGGTTAGGAACCCCTGGTTTAAGGCACATCATGGACTGCTGGGATTGGCTACAGATACTGTGCGACTCTAGAGAGTGAGAGGATTAGACTGTAGAATATGGAGGAATTAATGTACGAATAAACGAATAATGTGGACAGTTAGAGCTTAGTGAAAACATTTTTCAGACTTGTGTTTCACAGAAGAGTGACTGGCAGAGTAGGGAATATTTTCCAAATTAAGCTGCGGGCTTATGTACACTTGGAGAGGACACAACGTATTTAATTTAATTTTGCGTGTGTTTTTGTTGTAAGTGTTTACTCTTTGGTAAACATTGCTCGATATGTTTGTGCCATGCGTTTGTTAGGCTGCATGTTAATAATCTGCCGGACGATTCTGGAAAGTCGTAAGAAAGTGTTTGGTGTGAACCAGGTTACCGATAAAATTCATCACAATTCACCTGCGGTAGCAACGGAACCCTCAGGACATGCTGTAAATAATGGTGATGGCGATGATTAAGCACAAATCACTCATGTTACATCTCAGTCTTGTTTTCTTCATGATGACACAAGATTATCACGCGCCCGGGGACAGGAAGTAAATGACAGTAAATCTGAGTAACGGATGTCGTGCTTCCCTGCAGGTGATACCTCAGGAGCAGACAAATGACGGTCCCTTGAGTATGTATGGAATTGCACTACAGGACACATTAATGTCTCCACTGAGTGTCGAACACTGTCAGGCCATGGATTAATCCCTGTGTGATACCATCAAACTGCTTTCCATGCTCTAATAGCACAGAAAATAATAGTGACGGATCATTTGATAGGATGCTGCTAATGCACTGCTTGTTTTTGAGAAGCCTTTGAGCATGACAGCATGTGATAACACTTCGGAGACTGTCCCTCAATGACAGTCGCATGATGTTCCCCTCACGCCGGCTTCATTTTATTTTCGTGTCAGCGTAATGAATAAAGCCATATGGGAGCTCTCCCAGTGGACGCCCAGGTGTGCCGTTCTGAGCTGGTGCCACTTCCAGTCGTGTCTGTTAGCTTCCCTGATGTGTGCTGCTCTGCATCACGCTTCATTTTAATCACAGGATCAACTGTCGCCACTCTCTAATCAACTGTTTACACATACACACACGCGCGCGCGCACACACACACACCCACACCCCCGCGCGCGCACACACACACACCCACACGCGCGCGCACACACACACACCCACACGCGCGCGCACACACACACACCCACACCCCCGCGCGCGCACACACACACACCCACACGCGCGCGCACACACACACACCCACACCCACACCCCCCCACGCGCGCGCGCGCACACACACACACCCACACGCGCGCGCACACACACACACCCACACCCACACCCCCCCACGCGCGCGCGCGCGCACACACACACACCCACACGCGCGCGCACACACACACACCCACACCCACACCCCCCCACGCGCGCGCGCGCGCACACACACACACCCGCAGCCTATTCGAATATTTCCCGACTCCTTCCTGACATCACTCTTCCTCTCTTTCACCAATACAAATGTCTTTCCCGGGAGAATTCACTTCATTTACCTTGACCTTTGTACAAACTGATTCCCTGATACACTTCATATCATTTTGCTGTGTCCTCCTATGGGTATTTCATCATTATAACTCAGATTCACCTTTATTAACAGCCCAGCTCTCCTCTAAGGCGACTACACTCTCAATACCAAACAAACATGTCCTGGCCTTTTGTGGTGATATGAATAAAACAGAAGTGAGGTCAACCCAGGTCTTCTTTGATCGCAGAAGTTAAACAGTTTGTACAAGAGATTTATCAAAGTAGTTAGAATTAATTATTTTAATTTAAATTTTTTGTCACCTCTCTTACCATTGCAGGCTATGGTAGCATGGAGAGGATGTGCTTTAAATTACCTTGCTAATTAACTTTTCTACCAATCCTGTGGTCTTAATCTCCGGACTCACCAGGTTATGTGAAATATTAAGGTAGAAAACAGAGATTGTATAGTTCATTCAGAAATGGAGCTCTGTTCATTGTGAGCTACAGTTGCAGATGAACCCTGGATGTTGCAGAAATCGTACAAGGTTTTGGTCAATTATGGCTAATTCTAACTTTATTACCTCACTAAGGTTTTTATGTACTCTACCAATTCTGTGATTTTATAGATAGATAGGTAGGTAGATAGATAGGTTGATTGATTGATTGATTGATTGATTATTAATCCCTCTGGAGTTCCTTTGAAATTAAGACTCCAGCACCAAAACAACAGGAATGAAGATAGATGCAATACAATGCAATACTTAAT